GCTTCGATGAAATAAGGGGCTTACTGTTTTCTATATTCTTTTATTATTATTACTAGTGGCCTGGTGCATGAAATTTGTGCACAGAGGGGGGGTTCCCTCAGCCCAGCCTGCACCCTCTTGCAATCTGGGACTGCTGGCTCCTAACCGCTCATCTGCCTGCCTGCCTGATCATCCCTAACTGCCCTCCCCTGCCAGCCTGATCTCGCCCCCAACTGCTCTCCCCTGCCGGCCTGATTTCGCACCCAACTGCCCTCTCCTGCCAGCCTGATCTCACCCCCAATGGCCCTCCCCTGCTGGCCTGATCTCGCTCCCAAATACCATCCCCTGCCAGCCTGGTGGCCCCTAACTGCCTCCCCTGCTGGCCCAATCTCACCCACAATGGCCCTCCCCTGCTGGCCTGGTCTTGCCCCTAACTGTTCTCCCCTGCCAGCCTGATTGCCCCTAACTGTCTCTGCCTGTCTGATTGCCCCTAACTGCCTTCCCCTGCCAGCTTGATCTCGCCCCCAAATGCCCTCTGCTACCGGCCTGATCTCGCCCCCAACTGCCCCTCCCTTGCCGGCCAACTTGGTTCTAATTGGTTGGTTTCTATGCCAGTCAGCGTCAAAAGCTCTGCCTCCTAGGCAGCCATTGGCTCCTCACAGTTCACCCAGATTTGGTTCTGATTGGTCGGTTTCTATGCCAATCAGCGTCTCCAGGTATATCTCTAGGCCTGATCAGAGAGGTTGGGCTGATCAGCAGCCCCCACAGAGGCCCAGAGATTAAGAGAGAGGCAGGCTGCTGGTGAAGCCCAGAGAGAAAGAGAGAGGCAACAGCTTATCAACAGCTGCCATGGAGGCTGTGGATCAGACCCTGTCTCTCTCTCCCGGCCTCTCTCTGGGCCTGATCCATAGCCCCCTCAGCAGTCAGTGCTGGGTCGCTGCACCCGCAACAGCGGCAGTCAGTGCTGGGTCGCCATGGCAACCCAGTACTGACCGCAGGACTGACTTCCAGTGTTCGGTGGAGCCTTCGGTCAGTCGTTACGAACCCTGGGTTTTTATATATTATTATTATTATTATTATTATTGATTTTAGAGAGAGAGGGAAAGAAACATCAACATGAGAGTGAAACATCAATCAGTTCCCTCCTGCATGGGCCCCACCAGGATCAAACCCGCAACCTTTCAGTGTATGGGACAACACTCCAACCTGAGCCACACCTGCCAGCGATGTCCTCTACATTCTTAAAAGCCTCCAGCATTTTAGGTAACATGCCTTTGTTCCTTGCAACCTCAAGGAGCCTGTCCAAATTTATCTAAAAAAAAAATTTTTAAAAAGCCAGACCTGCAATATACAGCACATTAAACCAAATGATTCAGGAATAAAAAACATGTAAAAAGGGGTTATATAGCCTGAGGCACTGGCATTTACTTCAATACAGGGAATTTTTAAATGTGTTATGAAAATTACTACATAGTAGTTCAAAGATAAATGAAAATGTGAATAGTTAAGCACCCACAGAGTCCTCTCAATGCCATTTAAAAAACAAGCATTCTTCAAACTGTAATTGAATTCAAGAATCAAGGGCAAATTTGGGAAAGCATTGATATCTCTGCATATTTTCCTACGCTTTTTATGTCAAAGCTAAAGTGATAAAGATCACTTTTAGCTCATAAAGATCCCTTTTAAAGATACCTCAGTTAAAGACATTTTCCCTCTATATATCTGTGAATCTTTTTGTCATAACCAAAACCAGCTATTAGGAAGAGGATATATATCGTATCTAATTCAACTTGGAAAAAGAAAACCAGGCGCTCCTTAAATTGTCAACTGAGCCGTAAAGGTTTGTCTCACATCAATCTGAGGATCTTGGTAAACACATAAGCTTTCAATTATTCTGACTTAAGAAAATCGCATGAAACACTAATAACCACTCTGGTTTCCTTAGCATCCCAGTACATTTAAAAAGCTTACACTTTCTGGTGGTAATTATTTTGAAGTTTAGCATTCATAGCGTTTTCAAAGCAGTACACAGTTCTTAATATTTTTGACAAGTCAGTAATACAGCTCTGAATTTACAGCTGAGAAAAGGATTTAAACAAAACGAAATTAATGTTTTAAGGTTACACAATGAATCAGTGGCAGAAGTAGGATACAAATTTTTGACTCTCATTTATAGTTTCCAGATGAGAAAAATACAAGTATTCAAACCATTTTAGATAAATGAATTTTCAATGCATTTTCCCTGATATCACTGTCCTAGGAATCACTGTAGAAGACAAAGTCTTTGCCTAAATGTTGGCTCATTATCCCTCCTTTGGCAGTAGACAATACCTTGCAGGTGGTACAACTGTTTGTTTCAGGGAAGGAGCACTTTAATTGGGTGTTAAAGAGATTGGGAGTGTTTCCCACACTGAATGCACCCACTCAGTTAGGAAACCTCTGAAGCATTAAGAGAACGAGGTTAGAAACTCAGATGGGAGCTTAGGTGTGCATACAACATAAACCCATAACAGTACCAGAAAGGAAACAAAGACAACACACAAGCATTGCTCATACAGAGCTGCATACTTCTGAAGAAATAAATTACAATACTTTATTTTCAACGTGAAAAGTATTCCCCCAATAAGCATCCATACAAGCTCCATTTTCTTTATGGTCCCACTTCTTTTATTCAGTTTGTTTTTTAGATCCTCCAAGTCAGTCTGGCATATAACATTAACACTACTGTAATTCCAATTCTCTACTTTGAACAACACTTTCATATATTAAGATTTCTGAAAGCTAAGTGGTACGATTTTAAAATACAGCTTGCTTATGAACACTGCTACAATGCTTCTTCCCTTACAAAACATTAATGTAGTAAATATTTAATATTAAAATCATTTACTTATGACTTGGTGCAGTTATTTTATTATAATTAAGTTGAAAGTGTAAACAGCTTAATTTAATAGGTAACTAGTATTTTAACACATTTTGATTCTGAAAACCCAGTTAAACACAAATATTTTCTATTTTAACCCTGTTCAGTAAGTTTCAAATTATTCACACAGCATTTTCGTAATATATTCATGAAAAACTTGCTACCAGCTAACGCATTACATTGTCAGATGTAACTACATAACTCACATCTGCTTAAGACAATTTTATTACTTTTATCTACCTTTCTACATTTTCTGTTAAGATTCAGGCTGTATTCAACTGACAATTACAAAGATAACCTGTGTAGTGGAGGGTGTGGAGTCCCTTGCAAATACTGTTAGTAGGAATGTAAATCGGTAGTCTTTTTGGAGTTCAATTTGGCAACAATTATCAAAATTAGGTATGTGTGTGTGCGCGGGCACACACACACACACACACACACACACACACACACACACACACACAATTTGACAGGCAAATTAATGTGCTCACATAAGTGAGCCAAGATATGCACAAAAAGGTCAACCCAGCATTGTCTGAAATAGTGAAAAATGAAATGAACCCACCTGTGCCGAAGAGGTACTAGAGCAGGCCTTGAGACTGTCACCCTTGGGAAGGCTTGCTTGCCAGGCTGGCCTTTGACTAGTGTCTGGGAACTTGGCTGGTGAACAGTTTCCTGCATTGACATAAAGCTTTCCCCAAGGATCCAAACCTGGAAGGACCTAGAAGCCACAATGGAACTGATGTACTTCAGCATATAACCCAGGGCCACTCGCACTGAGACTCAACTGGCTTTAAAATAAACTTTCCTTATTGTTTAAGCCATTTTGAAATAGCTTAATGCTTGCAGTCAAAAGTACTCCTCTGGATTTCCGTTTCCATTGGCTTATGTGAAATGACAACTATAGGCCAGTGTCTGTTTTTGTATCTAGATGTACCACTTACTAACTTTGTGAATGTGGGGAAGGCATCCTGAGGTACTTTCTTCATTTTTCATGTGAAATGATACCTTGTATTTTATTAGCATTGTTATGAAAAAATAGAGGGCTACTCACTGTCTTAGCTATACAAGGTTTGTAAACTTTAATGATCAGACAAGTTTATTCAAATAACCTGGTATATAAGTAGCCAATAATGGCTCCATATCTCCAAGTGCCCCAGCCCTAGAATATTTAAATCCCAGAAGCGCTGCTCAATGTCCACATTATGAAAACTGCCCCATCTATTACTGGAAACATCTTAAGTCAGTCATGGGAAACAATTTTGTTTAGTAGCTAGCATGATGACATAGATTCTAATAAATCAAAGTCTTACTTGGGCTAGTGTTAGCATTTTGATTTTAAAAGATTACAGATATCACACACTGTCACTCACTACACACTTGTAGAATTCCTGAATATACAATGCTGGAAAAATGCATGAATACAATCAACTGTAAGACAGGCTGAGCACACATGATGTGGAAGTGATCTGCCACTGGCAGCAACTTAACATGGCTCAAGCAATCTCCATTTAAATGTCTCAAATGAGAAATTAACAGGGAGGCACATTCAGGAAGCTATAGAATTTTTTTCTGAGTACCAACTACTCTGTACCACAGACAAATTCTGAAATTTACATTACCACTCTTAAAGGTTTCATCAGAAATAATCAATATTTAAATGTACTTAATGTATTTACTAATCATGTTATAATATGTGTATATGTATATATATGTATATATATACATATATATAGACACACACATACATATATCTATACATATATAAACAGATATATAAACACATACGTATATCTATACATATATAAACATACATAAATGTTAGGCCAAAGGGAGCTTTAAAACAAGCACCAAAAAATATTTATTGATCACAGAAGTAGAAACTGAGCTTCCTAAGATATCAATCACATAAGTTACTGACCACATAAGTTTCATATATTAAAAACTAAAGCAAATAAAGCAAAAACTTTAGTGCGCTTAACCATACAATATACAAAATAAATCCATTACCAGAGTGTAGATACAAAACAATTAGCCATTTACATGCAATTAACATTAATAATTCAAGAAAAAAAGATTTTAAATATAATATTACCAAAACTGTACTAACATAGTGTAATAACACAAAAGCTGTAGGAAATATTAAAAATCTGCAAATAACAGGATTACTCTATTATATTATAAATCAAAATTTTCTCTCCTTACACAGATTTCGTAAAAGAACATGTTGAAAATAAATTTGAGTAAGTTCTTACTCTCAGTATGTTTCTTTTGGTTCTGGAACTATATTAAAGTATTGCCATGTCAAAGATATCATCTATAGTTTCCCAGAAGGATCGTCTTTAATAGTGGCAGTCTTCCTGTTCTATACACAGAATGTAACTCTCCTGTCAGAAAGCTCAAAATTGAACTACACCAGCCTCTTTGTTCTGGTTTTTCTTTTCCTCTTGAGTGACGTGACCTCTAAAAATATAAAATTAAGAAGTCTGTCAGGTCTAAAAAAATAATAACATACACTGAAACTATACAGATGTTTAATTGGTATTAAATAAGAATGCCATCACAGCAAAACTCCAACAAGAAATCTTAAACCTGGCATATACGTAATTTTTTTCCTCAAAACGATATTGTAGTTGAAAACTTACTAATGCAGACTCTAGTCATCCTAAATCCTACTTAACAATAAGCTACTCTGAAGATGTTTCATATGGGTATGCCCTCCCTATAATCAGCATGGATCCAGTGTGCCCATCTGAAAGGTATCCAGGCCAGTGCTAAGAGAGATGAAGAGCCAAGGATTTCAGTTTCACTTCACTTAAACCTGAAAATGTAACCCAGGACACTAGTACCATACATCTTTGTGGCTACCACAGCAGACACCAGATCCAACACGAAAATAGGTGTCCATCTAGAAATAGCTGTAAACCTAACAGTTACTTGTAATTAAAAACAAAACAACAGAAGATAAAAAAACATAAAAAATGAAAAGAAATATTCCCCACCAGTGCAAAATACAAGGGGAGTAACAGGAAAAGGAATAAGAAAGGACAAAGGAAAAATTAAGAGAAAGGAAAGAGACTGCTAGAAGAGAGCAGCAGTCAGGACAGAGTGCAGCAGGCCCCATGAACAAACTATCCGGAGTAGAGCAAGTCACAGGTCTGGAAGGGACTTCGTTAAAAAGATGAAATTGCCCTGGCCTGTGTGGCTCAGTTGATTGGGCATTTATCCCGTGAACGGAAAGGCTGATGGCTCGATTCCTGGCCAGGGCACATACCCTGGTTGTGGGTTCGATCCCCAGTAGGGGGTGTGCAGGAGGCAGTTGATGGATGTTTTGTTGTCACATCAATGTTTCTCTCTCTCCCTCTCTCTAAAAACCAATTTAAAAATCTTAAAAAAAAAGATAAAACTGATAAAATGCCTAATGTGTTTGATTATATCAAGAGGAGATTTATACAATTGAAGAGTGGTCTGGGGGTAAATCAGTGATAAGCACATGAAAAAAAAAATCAGGCAAAAAAGTTATTAACTCTCTAGGGAAAATAATAAATGCATATAGATTAAGAAAAAATCATAGTCTATTCCATGGCCCTCCTGCCAATAATGTTTTGTAAATGTTGAATACCATTACAACTAAAATAATAATTATATTGGGCGGGTGGGGCTGGGAAGCGTTCATGTTTTGGGGCTGAGAGGCGAAGAATATGAGAGAATTAAATCCTCGCCTTCCTCAGTGGGAAGCCAATAGATAATCCACAGAATTGAAATATGAAGAAATGGCAATATAAACATGTTATTTAGAGACACAAAGGTAATTAGTAATGGGGTTAAAAGTGTTGTCTCTGGGGGTTAATAAATGGGAGTCAGAGTTAGAAGACTGGTTTCTTATGAGTACTATAAAATTATTTGAATTGTAAAATAAATTATGTGCATATGTAATAACGAGTGGCCCACTGCACAAAAATTCGCGCAATAGGCCTTCCTTCCTCTGGCTGTCGGCACCGGTTTTCCTCCGGCACCCAGGACCCAGGCCTTTGGTCCAGCCGCAGCAGCGAGGCTTGGCTTCTCTGCTGTGGCTGCTCCCAGCCCCTCCTTTTATTTTATTTTCTAGCTCCTCCAGCGGAGCCCAGGGCGGACTGGAAGCCTGGGTTGCCCCCGGTGACCCAGGCCCCCAGCCACTCCTTGAGTGGAGCCCAGGACCCCAGACCCTCCTTGAGCAGAGCCCAGGGCGGGCTGGAGGCCTGCCCCCAGCCACTCCTTGAGCGGAGTACAGGGCTGGCGGGAAGCTTGGCTTCCTCCGTCGCCAGGAGCAACCCAAGCCTCCTGCTCGCTCCAGCTCTGTGGCCGCCGCCATCTTCAGTCGTCTTCAGTCTTCGCTCTGCGCCTGCGTATGCAAATTAACTGCCATCTTTGTTGGGTTAATTTGCATAGTCACTCTGACTCTGACGGGCTGGTGGGTGTAGTGGAGTGGCAGAGTGATGGTTAATTGCATGTTTCCCTTTAATTAGTGTAGATGATTAATGAAAACCAAATTTTTAATAAAAATAAGCTGATAGATTTTCAAACAGGACTAGTCAGCTGGCCTAAGGTATGTGTGTGATTAATAGTTTACACACAGTAAAAGCCTGCAAGCAAGACTGGAGAGAAGCTAAGATCTGAAATTCGCCACAAGATTGTAAAGGACTGTTTTATGCTGACATAAGCAAACCACAGAAATGCTCAGATTTCTGAGGGAACAAATAATCCCTTTTAATTGTCTATTCTGTCTTCCACATGCTTCTATAGCACCCTGCTTCTCTTTACCATCGTGCACTGGCTTATTTTCCTCCCACACTAAACTTTAAGGTCCTTGGGGACACAGACTGATATAAATCATTCAACAAATATTTATTTAGGTCCACTATGGGCCAGTCACTGTACTCAGATCCACTCAGATCTACAATCACAGTGATTAAAATAATACGGTTCTTAAATTATTATAGTATATATCTTTATATACTATGAGAATTTAGCTAAGTACTTGAAAAACAAGAGGCACCCAATAAATGCTTGCTGAATAAATACATAGCCCAAATGAAAAAAGTCATTGCCGAGCTGGTGTGGCTCAGTGGCTGAGTGTCAACCTATGAACCAGGAGGTCACAGTTCAATTCCCAGTCAGGGCATATGCCCAGGTTGCAGACTCAATCCCAAGTGTGGGGCATGCAGGAGGCTCATCAATGATTCTCTCTCATCATTGATGTTTCTATCTCTTTCCCTCTCCATTCCTCTCTGAGATCAATTCAAAACAAAAATTTTTAAAGAAACTTAAAAAAAGAAAGTCATTAGGCATTATCCTAATACATATTACATTCATTATCATTGATGGATTACCAATTACTACTCTTAAGTGTCTACATTAACAGTATGATTAATACTAAAATTCTCCAATATGCCAAAGATAAAAACAAGAACACAGAACCAACCATCATGATCTTTAAGGGTTCTAAACCTTAATGCTCTGAGCATAGCTTTCTTTCCCAGTTTGACAAAACCTCACCTGTACCTGTTTCACTCTGACTTCCGTTCTCCTCACCCTCCTCTGTAATAACAGGCATACTCAGACTCAAACATCTATCTTCCTTATGTACATTCTGCTTGTCATCTGGAAATAAACAAAAAAGTGGTTTTATATCAAAAAAGAATGTTAATCTTTAAGAAAAAAAAAATTTATACAAATAATGTCACTATTATAAAAAATAGATGTTTAAAAGCTAAAACTGTAACGGTAAACAGAAATATGCATGTTAAAATATATATCTTTAAGTATTAATACATTTGTATTTATGCTTTGAAATAGTCTCTAATCTTCCATTAAAGAAAATGGAGGAAAGGGGAAGAAACAAAATTAGCCAAATACAGATATCGTATTTAATCCTTGTCACACACAGCACAGTATGTTATCTGCTGCTATCAGAGGATAACCACATGTGTTACTTTGACTATATTAATTAATGACAAATGTTATTTTAAAGTTAATAGCCTTGTTTTTGAATGAAGACACACTTCCTTTTATCACCACATATGCTCTACAAGACATATTTCTCTACTTATAATTTGCCATTGACTTTGCATTTTCCAAAACATTGGAGGTTTTCTACATCAACCTTCTGTTGTCTGAAGAAATATCCTATTCAAATTTATCAGATACCATTGTCAGATCAGTTCTCATTTAGCACATAACACCCATGTCCCAAGAGCAACCTCCTCCCAAGAATCACTATTTATTCCTTACTAGAGGCCCGATGCACAAAAATTCGTGCAAGAGTAGGACTTCTTTCCCCCAGCTGCCGGCACTGGCTTCCCTCTGGCACCCGGGACCTGGGCTTCCCTCCTCCCGCCTCCAGCAGGCACCTGGGACCCCGGCTGGCTTCGCCTGGGCCCCAGCTTCGTCAGAAAGGACATCCGGAATGATGTCCGGAAGACATCTGGTCTAATTATCATATTACCCTTTTATTAGTATAGACTAGAGGCCCGGTGCACGAAATTCGTGCACTGGGGATGGGTGGGGGGTCCCTTAGCCCAGCATGTGCCCTCTTGCAGTCCGGGACCCCTCCCTTGTTACTG